TAATTTTTATTTTCATTTTTTCATTTTTGTTCTTTTTTCTGTTTTTAGAAACGACGACTTTCCTGCTACCGGTAGCTCGAGGCTCAGCAAGGCTCAGGATACCGGTAGCCAGAGGGTCGGACTTGATAGCTGGGAAAGGTACTGGTGGTTTAAACCACCAGTTCAGCGAAGCCTATTTGTCCGCACCTGCCTTTCCTTAGCGTCCTGCACAGAACACCACCAGCCCAGGCCCAAAGCATGCTCTTACCGCATACTCCGGTAGGAGCTCGGCTTAGCTTCGGCAAACTGGTGTTTTCGGAATTCTGCGTGGACTGGCTAGGGGTAGAGGGGGGGGGATGGATGTCGCCTGGGCAGTGAGGCCCAATGTTGACCAGCACAACCAAGGCCCAGCCATAATAAGTTGATGATCTAAAGGACTGGTCCCAAATTGATCCACTTTCCCCCATGAGGCCTCCATTAGATTTCCCTGATACTTTTCTCCCTGCGAATTCGTCTATTTTTGATCTTTAGTGGCTTGGGCTGGTGTCCTGCCGAAAAAACCGCCCCTAACTCACAGGGCCTAGGGGTATAGGCTGGCGGTGGGACTGGTGTTTTAATCCTGAGCTGTTTACATTTCAATGATAATATCTTAGCTATCTCAGTAACACACAAAGTAGGCCTGTGCTTTTTTTCTTTTCAAAATATGTGGGCAGTCAATCCCTCTTCAATGCGGGCGAGCTTTATGAATGAGCGAGTCTGCAAGAAAGGTGCACCACTTAATCCACCTCCCATCTAGTTCCCCTGCCCCCTCAAATAACTGCAGTGTCTATGGCCAGCACTCTTCCACACACACACACATACACACACACACACACACACACACACACCCCTGATGGGCAAAGACCCTACCCATACCGATCGGCTGGAGCAAGCCTACTATCTCACTTGGTTGGCCCAGGCCACCAGGCCGATCTGGGCAGCCCGGTTGGGAGCCCAGGTCAAGACAAGTTCGCGAAGATAAGAGAACGGGAAGAAAGGCAAAATAATACACAATATCCCATGTAGTACATGCACACACCTTGGCTTTCCTGTGTTCTGCTAGCCATCTCCGCACCTTATTCCAGGTCTCCTCATGGTTCTTCATCCTTGCTTTCTCATCATGTGCCTCTTGAAGGGCTTCTTTCCAACCACTGACCGCTCTTAGTTTCAAGAACCTGAGCAGTCAAATCGAAGTTTCGAAACATGATAACAATGGTGGTTAATCGAACTTTTGATTCTGAAAAAAGGCTGAACTCGAAGCTCACATAACGAATGAAATAGGGATAAGAATTAACTCCACCCTATGCTGAAGCGCCAGTGGTCTTCCCAACCTTTGATGAAAAAACGCTCGCTAGTTAACATGGGGCCATAGAAAAACTCGTGGCGGAACCAGACAAATTTCCCGCTGACACGCCGCCGTGACTGGTTGGATTTCACAGGGGCGGGCAAAATTCTGCAGTGGGAATCCACCGCTATTCCATCTCTCTCTCTCTCTCTCTCTCTCTCTCTCTCTCTCTCTCTCTCTCTCTCTCTCTCTCTCTCTCT